ATAACTTAACTTAACGTTTTTAATAAATTAAACAATTATTCCACTCGTTCTTGTTGGATATGAGATGATTATAGCCAACTCGGCGCTACGCGCCTTGTTGGCTATCTATCATCTCATATCCAACGCACGCACATGGAATAATTGTTAAATAACAAGTTTAATCGGATTTGAGCCTTGCATCCCAGATCTCTTGCAAACTGGATGTTTTTCTCTTTCTTTTTTTTTTTCCTTCACAGAGAAATATGGAGGTGGAAAGGGTCAAGGAGGTGGGTTGATCAAGATGTAACGGTAATTTTAAGCCTTCCCCATCAAACATTCCTGAATCTGCCACTATAACTGTAGCTGGAAGTTAGACGTACATCCCTTCTTACATTACAGTAAAAATCTGCATACAAGAACACCCATTTTTGGGGTTCAAGCTGATTGGGTTCTTGTATATTGGGTATTTTTAGGTGAAATCAGCCTGAAAGTGTTCTCAAGTGTTCTTAATATTTTACTTCTAAAAAAATGTAAGGGATTTACTAGTAACTATCATGATGAAATACATAACTTTGAGAGAGAATTAAACTGGAGACACACGACATTAGAAAATAAATTGCACAACCGAGCATATTTTTCACGTAATTATAAGACTTAATTCCAAATACAGTTGTTGTACATTTGCTATACACAGCAAGTGAAATTACTAGCATTTATAAACAGATCTTAGTGCAATATCACAGTATTTAAAGCTACGGACACTGTTTGTTCTATTAAACTGAAAAGGGAAGAGTTTTTAAAATATATATCAAGAACAATTTTCAATTTTCAGGCTGAATGTGTTCTTATATTGCTCTTTTTTAACCAAATTTCAACCTGGGTGTTCTTAATCCACATATTCTTGTATGCGGGTTTTTACTGTATTGGAACAGGACCCTGATCAAGTTATTTATCCCTAAGAAAGAACACATACCATACGTAGAAGTGAGGACATCACTTTGTCTATTAAAAATCGGTGTAAGATCATCATGATCCTCAACTCTGCAAAGAAAACAATTTTTTGAGAGTGTTTTGAGTGATATCACTCATGGCTCAGAAATTCAGTTACTTTGTGCAGTGTTCATTTTACATGCCACCAATATTAGCTGCAAAGAAGTGCACAATTTGCATGACTGTATTGGGATAAAATAATTTGAATATATCAACAAAGTTGAAATGGTAAATTGGTCACCGTAACGATTATAAAAGCTGACGTTTAC